GTGTGATTACAACACACTGTGTGTGATTACAACACACTGTGTGTGATTACAACACACACACTCTCATCACATGAGCAAACACCTGTCACAGATTAGCTTTAGCATCAGAACGTTAGCTGTAGAGGACAGGAAGAAGAGGATGAGGAAGACCAGAGGTCATAATCTCAGAGACCACATGGTCACAACATTTTATTGTGTTTGTTTTGTTTGTTTTGTGGTGATTTCAGGGTGAACACTGTTGTGTGACACATTGTTGTTGCAGTAAAATGAGGGGTGTGTTCAGTTCTGACAGCTTTCAGAACATGTGTCTAAATAATGGAGAAAACCTGTAAACACACACCTGTTGTCCACTCAGCTGTGGTCTGAGGCCACGCCCACTTTCTGTGTGTGTCCATACAGGTCTGCGAGCCTCCTGAACCTGGGTCCCCAGTCCCTCAGGAAGGCGTAGCTGTGCTCAGACTCCAGCAGGGTGAGCGGGTCCAGTGAGGTCAGAGAGTCCAGGGAGCTCAGAGACTCAGCTACTGAGCCGTGGCCTTCGAAGGCGTAGGTCTGCAGGAAGTCTAAGGGTGGTGCCGTCGGGTCCAGATCTGCTTCCTGGAGCTGGTCCCTGAGGAACTCCTGGAACAGACTGGTTTTCTGAGTCCTGGACTGGTTGGACCCGCCCCTCAGGTTCAGGTGTGTGTGGTTGGACCCGCCCCTCAGGTTCAGGTGTGTCAGAGTGAACATGTCGAAGGCCCTGGTGTCCTCCTCACCTCCACCTTCATCATCGTAACAAACCATGTTCTCCTGGAGGACTGGCTCATTGTCCACCGTCTGACACTCTGTCCTCCTCAGTCTTAGGACAACGGTTACCATGACAACACCTGAGGAGACAGGACGGCGTTACCATGGACACAATAACAGCTTAGGATGCATATAATAAGTGATGATGTCACGGCCGTACCTGAGAGTGTGAGCACACAGGTGAGTGCGGCAGCAGAGAGGACACTGAGGCCAGGTGTCAGCAGATAGACCCCCTGCCTGCAGACACGGGGGGCTCCCTGCGGCTCACAGGTACACACGCTAACGGTTAGCGTGTTGGTGCTGCTGAGGGACGGACTGCCACCATCTGAGATCACCACCGGCAGGAGGAGGAGGTCCTGCTGCAGGACACCTGCACGCTGCACCAGCAGGGACGCCGTGTTGTCTGAGCACAAACATAAAGAAAGAGTTCCACTGAAACCACACCTGTCATCAAGGTGATCTGCACGTCAGGTGCAAGGTACCGTTGTTGTCTCTCAAGGAGAAGGAAAAGCTCTGGTTCATGGCAGCGTTAGCTGCCAGGAAGAACTGGAAGTGGTGTCCGGTCTCTGGCTCATCTGGATCCACGGCACTCAGAGTTTCAATGACCTGAACCACAACAGACATGAGCTCATTTCATCCAAAGGTTGTAGGGGTCAGAAACACAAAGCTACATTTTAAACTTCATAAACTGAAGGCATTAAAAAGGTCTACCTGTCCAGGTGGGGCGTTCTCACAAACAGATGTTTGATACTTGATAGCAAAGCTAGGAGCATTGTCGTTAACATCCATTACAGAAATGAGAACCACAGCTTTCCCCACCTGAGACAAATCCACTGAAAAAAAGAGACTCCTGTCAGGTGGATCTGTCACATCAAAAACCACAACATGACAGCTCATGGGTCTCACAGGTCTCAGTGGCCAGGACAGTCAGGTTGTACACATCACACATCTCTCTGTCCAGACGTCTGTTCGTGCTGATGACACCTGAACTGCTGTCAATCATAAAGAAATGCTCAACGTCTGACGTCCTGTCGATGGAATACCTGCAGAGACCAAGAGACCGAGGGATGGATGGATGGATGGATGGATGATGGATGGATGGATGGATGATGGATGGATGGATGATGGATGATAGATGTATGGATGGATGATGGATGGATGGATGATGGATGGATGATGGATGGATGGATGATGGATGGATGGAAGATGGATGGATGATGGATGGATGGAAGATGGATGGATGATGGATGGATGGAAGATGGATGGATGATGGATGGATGATGGATGGATGATGGATGGATGATGGATGGATGGATGATGGATGGATGGATGGATGATGGATGGATGAGTGGATGGATGATGAATGGATGAGTGGATGGATGATGGATGGATGGATGGATGGATGATGGATGATGGATGGACAGACATACAGCTCTTCAGACTCATGGAAAGACGGTATGTTTTTATTCAGGTATTGTGGTATTTTGGTGTTTTGGTGTTCTGGTATTTTGGTATTTTGGTGTTACACTATTCAGGTATTGTGATATTCTGGTGTTTTGGTGTTCTGGTATTTTGGTATTTTGGTGTTACACTATTCAGGTATTGTGATATTCTGGTATTTTGGTGTTACACTATTCAGGTATTGTGATATTCTGGTGTTTTGGTATTCTGGTATTTTGGTATTTTGGTGTTACACTATTCAGGTATTGTGATATTCTGGTATTTTGGTGTTACACTATTCATGTATTGTGATATTCTGGTGTTTTGGTATTCTGGTATTTTGGTATTTTGGTGTTACACTATTCAGGTATTGTGATATTCTGGTGTTTTGGTGTTCTGGTATTTTGGTGTTACACTATTCAGGTATTGTGGTATTCTGGTGTTTTGGTATTCTGGTATTCTGTTTTAGTCACAGATTGTTCTGGTATCTTGTGGTGGACTCCTGGTCTCACCTGATTGGGCTGTTGGAAGAATCTGGGTCATGAGCAGAAACTGATCCCACATGAGATCCAACCAGAGCCGCCTCTGAGACCATCATCTGACTGACTGAGACAGAGAACGCCGGGGGTTCATCCACATCCCCCACCAGCAGCAGGACCGTTGTTACATCAGTAAATGAGCCCACCAACAGGTAACGGGGGTCCACATGTTGATTGGACGCCTCGATGTTCAGAGTGTAGCTGGATTTAGTTTCAAAGTCCAGAGTCTGTGAGGAACAGAAGTTAGAACTGGATATCAACTAATTATCTAAAGAAGGCTTTCCTCAGTTTACCAGTTCTGGACCAGTCCCTGCTCAGGAACAAACCAGTACCTTGTGTAAAGAAACCAGTCCTTCCTGGGTATTTGGATCAGTCTGAATTCTGAATGTTCCAAGTCCATCTCCATCCAAAATCTTGTAGTCCACCTCAGCATTTGGACCCACATCCAGATCTACAGCTCTGATCCTCGCCACCACTGATGATACCAGGACTGACTCCGGGACTATGAACTGGTAACTTTCTGTGGAACACAGGTCCAGCTGTCACTGAGCTTCTGGGGATTTGGATCTATGATGTCATGAGTAAAGGTCAGAGGTCAGACTCACTGCGTGGGAAGTGAGGTGGGTTGTCGTTGACATCAGTCAGGGTCACGGTGACAGTCGTGGATCCTGACAGAGCTCCCATCTGACCCAACATGTCTTTGGCCTGGATGACCAGCAGGTACTGGTCCTGCACCTCCCGATCCAGGTTAGGTAGAGCTGTCCTGACCACACCTGCAGGAAAGAGGACATGGTCCACATGAAGTCGTGAAGCTCTGGTTTCACAGATTACACCATAAACATAACAAGTGAGTCCAGTCCTGTTTGGATCTTCACAGCAGAACCATCTTTCAGAGTTTCACTGTTGGACTGAACTGCCATTTTCACATCTTGAACACTTGAAGGAAAAGATGAAGAACCTTTAGTTTATCCTGGTTTGGGTTTGATTTTCAGCATTCTGGGACCTCAGCAGGTCTGAAAGATCCAGTTCTGGTTTTGCTGTAAATCATGTGACTGATACCCTCCCTGCATCTGAGCCGAGTGCTGAAATAAAGCAGGGCAGGTCTGGACGTGATAGAACATCTGTAATCTGTGTTAATCGCTGTAATCTGACGTGGGTGTGAGGGGAGGGCCGGGGGGATGCAGAGTCAGGTCTCACCTGTTTTTGGATCTACAGAGAAGTAAGGCTGACCCTGCAGGATACTGTAAACCAGTCTAGCAGAGTTTCCATAGGTTGGATCATCAGCATCTGTTGCCACTACTGTCACCACAGACGTTCCTGCAGAGAAACAACAAGCAGAGTCAGGGAAACAGTCAGACAGAGTCCACATGGAGCCATCTGAGAAGTCCAGTCTGACCCTGAGGAGTCGGAGCAGGCTTAGTGTCAGAGTTTAGGTCTGGATTTATCAGGATTTAGCTGAGTCCTTTCATTGATTTCAACAGATCAGTTTTGGATTATTTAGCGTAACCAGCAGGAACACTGAGGGTTCGCTGAGGGTGGGGCAGTGGTGGAACATTTTGCTGGAAGATATTTTTGGTTGAAAATTGGAATCAATATTTTAAAAGTTCTTACTGCAATGGAAGGTGTAGACAACAATAGGTAGGATCCTAAGGACTTTTAAATCTGCTGCAGGTACATTTAGAATTGGTAGGCTGGATTTAAACCACCTGGATCACTGAGAGTGTGCATCCGAACAGGGACTGGGTCATGGTCATTGTGACTCTGTCCTGGTTCTAAACTTTTAATGTAGGACTATCAGCAGGAACTTCACAGAAACATTGAGACTGGTTCTTGTCCTGACCCACCTACAGGGGATCCCTCTGCCACTTTGGTGGTGTATGGTCCATCCAGGAACCTGGGTGCATTGTCGTTGATGTCCTGGACTTTGATGATGAACTGAGACTCTGGCTCCACCAGCAGGTTGGTGTTCCGGTCCCTGGCCTGTACTCTCAGGGTGTAGTAGGCCTGCTGTTCTCGGTCCAGCCTCTTCGTGGCATGGATGTCTCCTGTGTCCTCCTCAATGGTGAAAATGGATGCTGCTCCATCACCACTCAGGGAGTATCTGACTTGACCATCACCTTTATCCTTTTCAGAGTGGAGCTGCAGGGACCAGAGAAACCAGAGAATTCAACAGAACCTACCAGAGATGTGTGGTTCTGAAGAGGTTTGCAAGTCCAGAACCAATTAGAAAATGAAGGATAGGCATCCAGGTGTAGGGTCCACCAAGAGACCCTGTCAGAGACAAGTTTACATGTCCAGAACCAAATACAGTACAAAGGACAGAAGACCAGGTGTAGGGTCCACCAACAGACCCTGTCAAAGACAAGTTTACATGTCCAGAACCAAATACAAACTGAAGGACAGACGTCCAGGTGTAGGGTCCACCAACAGACCCTGTCAGAGACAAGTTTACATGTCCAGAACCAAATACAGTACAAAGTACAGACGTCCAGGTGTAGGGTCCACCAAGAGACCCTGTCAGAGACAAGTTTACATGTCCAGAACCAAATACAAACTGAAGGACAGAAGACCAGGTGTAGGGTCCACCAAGAGACCCTGTCAGAGACAAGTTTACATGTCCAGAACCAAATACAGTACAAAGGACAGAAAACCAGGTGTAGGGTCCACCAACAGACCCTGTCAGAGACAAGTTTACATGTCCAGAACCAAATACAGTACAAAGTACAGACGTCCAGGTGTAGGGTCCACCAAGAGAGCCTGTCAGAGACACGTTTACATGTCCAGAACCAAATACAGTACAAAGT